TATAGTATACACAGACCATCTCAGTGCGATGCCTCAAGTTCTTCTCATAAGTGTTTTATTGCTTTGAGTTTATCTAGCTACTACGCGGCCTTTAATTGGCCCTCTTAACCATCTTAACTAGCACATTTTCTTTTGTGCGTAAAACCAATCCATTTTCGTAGCGAATGTCCTCTGGTGTGGTGACGGGCAGCACCCGGAAATTCTGCAAAATGCCCACTAGCATAGCTTTAATTTCCAGCATGGCAAATCTTTGACCTACAATTGTGCTTATATATATTGTTTGTGCTTACATTTTATACATGTATTTATTTGCTTTTGCTTACCAATGCAATTCCTTGAACCAGCACTGAAAGGCAAAAAGGCGTACGGATGTCGATTTATGCTATTTTCGGGCAAAAATCGGTCAGGATCGTATTTTAAAGGATCCGGAAAATGTTGTTCATCGCGCATTATGTCGAGTATGTGTATATTAATCTGACTACCGGCTGACAATATCACACCATTGAGTTCTGTATCTTCGCGGCAGCAACGCGATATGAAGGGCACAGAGGGTTGGAGACGTAGTGTTTCTTTTACAACACGTTCCAAATATTCCAACTGATTGAAGTCGGAAATGCTCATTGCTGGCAAATCTGCAAATTAAAATTGCTTAATTGTGCTTTTTTTTGGTTTTGTTAATTTTTTAAATTTTTTTGTTTTTTTAGTAATTTTTTTTTTGTTAATATTTTTTTTTAAATTAATTTTTAAATTTTTTTTTGTTAATTGTTTTGTTAGTTTTTTGTTTTGTTAATATTTTAGTTTTATTTTTGTTAATTTTTTTTTTGTTTTTTTATTTGTTAATTTTTTTTTTATGTTTTTTATTCATATTTTTTATATTCTATTTAATTTTTTTTTTGTGATTTATTTTATATATTGTTTTTTGTTTTATTTTATTTATTTATATTTGTTTATTTTTATTTTTGTTTATTTTAACTTTCCTTTAAATTCTGTTATTTTGTTAATTTTTTTATTATTAATATTTTTTATTTCATTTTCTTTTGTTAATTTTTCTAATTTCATTTCTTTTTGTTTATTTTCTTTTTTTGTTATTTAGTTTTTATTTGATTTTCTTTTTTAATTTTTATTTTTGTTAAATTTTCCTTTCGTTTTTGCTTTTATTTTGTTAATTTTTTTATTATTAAAATTTTTTATTTCACTTTCTTTTGTTATTTTTTTCATTCTTTTTTATTTATGTTAATTTTTTTGTTATCTATTTTAGTTTAATTTTTTGTTTTTTTTTTGTTTTGTTTACTTTTTTTATTTGTCAAATGTATTTTTTTTATTTGTCTTATTTTTGTTTTTTATTTTGGTTTTTTTTTTATTTTTGTTAATATTTTTTTGTTTTTGGTTTAGTTTTGTTTATTATTATTATTGTTATTTTTTTGTTGTTGTTTCTGTTTTGTTATTGATTACTTTTTTTTGTTATTGTATCTTTGTTTTTTTTTTTGCCTTTTAATCTTTTAAAATTACATGCAATGCTCACCGTAATTTTTTACTTCTCGATAACATTTCTCTTGTATATCCGAGTGTACGGCCAAATTGAATAATGTAAAAATGAGGCACGTTGCCGTCGTATCATAGCCCTCGAACATAAATGTATTCACTTCATCACAAATGCCTCTATGATCGATCACTCCCTGGGACTCGGCGTGGAAAAGTGTATCCAACATGGCGTAACGTTTCCGCTTACCAGTTTCATCACTTAAACGATTTGCTATTAATATTATTAATAAGATGTAGTAATTATGTTTCGATTTACTCATTTTCATGCACAGTTTCTTTGGCGAATTGCCTTTTTTGAAATTCCTCACGTTTCTTTGTTATAATCTTACTGCTGAAGTTATGTGCCACCTTTACATTTTTGTAAAATCCTTTGTAATCGCCGAACAATTTAAATACCAAAGGATAATACATAAATGGATTGCATAGCCGTTTCACCATCACTAACTCTAGCTCATGTATGATCTTGCGATACTCGCTGCTGCCAGATATGTCGTTCAAGGAAACGCCAAGCGCAGTTTCTTGAAATAAAAAAACCAAAGTCGAAGGTTTGAGATTGTTTGTGCAGATTATATAGCACATACATATGTATGTAAGTATGAGGCACATACAAATTATTATTTCTTACCACAAACACTATTTAAAGTGAATTCCGATATTATTTCATTTAGATTCACATTTTGATCCTTCTTCGCGCTTAACAAATTAACAAGTTTTAAAGTTTCATTTCTAGCAAAAGTGAAAAACAGTGTGTTTTTATATGCATGTATATATATATAGCTACCATATGAAAAATCTAAAAACTTACTTGAAAACTTCAATAAAACTCTGCAATATATTAAAGTGAAAAGCTGGTGTTAGCAATTTTCGCCTGTCATGCCAATGTTGCTCTATAAAAAGTATGTTTGTATGCATGTTAAAGTTTCATAAATAATTCTTCTTTTGAGGTTATTGTTTTTTTTTTACCTGAGCTCACAAGCAATCCCTCACCCAAGAATGGACGCACTAATTCATATACAACGCCTTTTGTTGTTAAGCTTTGACTTTGGAAAACCTCTTGTACTGCTTCCGGACTTGTTATTGTGTAAATACAAGCTTGGTAAAAATACAAAGCATAAGGTTTACCTTTTGCGCGTTTGTAGAGGTCGCGAGACCAGTGGTAAATATCCTCTGAAAAGGTAGTAGTGAAAATTATAATATAATATACAGTTACTGACAATAAAATAGAACAACAGTTCGCGAAGAAATTTCTGCACCCAATTCTCTTCGGATAGCTACAGAGGATTTGAAAGGATCGCGTTTTGATAAAATCTCTATATAACTGTCATCCTAAGACGTCGTTTTTCGTAGCCGTCCTCTCAATTCGCATTGTTTAGGCGGTTTCAAAGCACTAACCACACATTTTTGGGATCTTTTTATCATTTTTAAAATTTCGCTTTAGGTATAACCGGTATATTGAAATTTTTTTTTATTAGCTTAAGCTCTGCCGCTGTGCAGTGCTCGGCTAATGTCTTCTATAAATAAGACTTAATTGTAACAAAATGTCAAATTTTATAAAATATCCTAAAAATTATATACTGACAATATAGTTGTTTACTAAATAACGCCTTTAATTGATATTTTTATTTCTTGATTCTATTGCAAATTAACACAAAGGTAACACTGAAATGTAACAGAGTTGCCATCATGGTATTTGAAAGATAGAAATCGATTACAGACAAAACATATTCGAAATTCATCAGACAAATAATATAGATTGTTATTTATTTCGAAACCATATATTTGATTCTATATTGTTAGTAAGTGTATATATGTAGGTACGATCTTTAGAAAATCAAATAGAAACGAAAAAATATGAATAAAGTAAGCCTCACTTTCAAACCGCTTCCGTGAAGATAGCTTATCAAATAAAAAAGTTAACCTTACAAAGACTTGGTTCAGTTTGTATACCAGCTATTTGCTGTAGTAGTCCAACATCGGCAGTTCCGACAAATAAGTAGCTTCTTGGTAAGAAAAGGACGTATGCAAAAAGATCGATATCTCATAAACAGAGGCAGTAGTTCGAGTATATACATACAAACAAAGCTAAATGAACTTGGCTCGCTTTTTGGACACGCTGATCTGTCGTATATATACATACATATATATATATTGGTGTAGTAAAACGATTGTCCAAGAGCTAAAGATTGCACAAAAAATCGTTGGGAACCAAAGTAATAAGGCTGGATACGAAAAGAAGTTCGATGTATGGGTACCACACGAGTTAACGTAAAAAAAAAAAACCTTTGGACGAATTTCCATCTGTGAATCGGTGCTGAATTGCAACGAAAACGACCCATTTCTGAATCGACTGTCGCAATTTTTTGCCAATAGGAACGAAGAGGCATAATGAAATTACCCTTAAAATTACAACAACTTAACGAACAAAACGGCGCATATTTGACCTAAATCGGATAATTCTAACTATGGTAATTAAAGCCTTCAATTTCATGCAAAAATAATGGATTTATTTTTACTACACCTAATATTTCCTTTGTAGTAAACTTAATATAACCTGTTCAGGGTATAAAAAGTGTTATACAGTGAGTTCTACGGTAATAAATAAAAAATGATTAAGAGCTCACCCGGATTTGAATTCAATATGTCGAAGTTGTTGCCAAAAATAGTGCGTCCCGGCACTATGTACACCTTATCCGATATTTTACTGCCATCCACCGTTTTCAATTGTCTGCAGCATGCCAACAAATAGTACTCTTTACTGAGCCTTTTTAAATAAAAAATTAATCCTAATAGGAATATTGAAAAACACAAAAGAAATGTAAATAATGCCATTGCACAAACTGCACTGAATTGTAAGTCGTCGCAAGCGTATCGAAGTAAACACGGAATTATGAAAGCTTCTATTCCATAATCTTGTTGCTCGATTAATTAAAGCCGGATTACATGCATTCTTTATTGATAACAATTATATTTATAAATATTGGGCGTGTGCATGTAAATGTAATGTATGTATATGCTTATATATATGTATTATATATTAGGGTGGAGCGAATTTTTATATTTTATTTCTGTAGATTGTAACAAAAAAAATTTTTTTGTCCAAAAAGTAAAATTTTTTTTCGCTCCACCCTAATGTACATATACATAATATTATGTGTACATGTCTTGTGTGACGGTTATACTGAAAGATATCTGATGATTTTTGAATTAAAAGCGAGAAACAACGTTAACTTCGGCTGCACCGAAGCTATAATACCCTTCACAAATACAACGGTTTCTTACAAGAACTTGATTCCGATATAATTTCGTAAAGATACCTCGTCAAATAAAAAAGTTTCCCGATCGTTCGGTTGATGTGGCAGCTATATGATATAGTGGTCCGATCTGAAAGATTCGTTTGGAAATTTTAATGTTGTCCTGGACAATAATCTATGCCGAATTTCGAGAAGATATCTTCTTCTTAGTAAAAATTCATCCCAAAAGTTCATCCCTAATACTAAACTTTATTGCACCTGTGATCTTATTTTAAGTGAAGTTCAAACACTAATACAAATTATTGATTGGATTACTTTAATTAATTTATAATAACGGCTCTTTTAATAAGGTTTTTTTTAATTGGTAACTGGATTTATAAAGCTCTATTTATATAATAGGTGGACAAGTTTTTTTAACAGCTTTAAAAGTTCTACAACTTTTTTTTTTATAAAAATTCGTTTTTTTTTTGTTTTTTTTATTGTAAAAGGCAGAGGTGCAAATGGTTGCTTAGTGCTCGTTAATTTCCTAGTGCAATTATTTGTGTTATCAGTTCATATGTATTTCTGATTATATGAATTGCTCATCGTGTTACTTTGTTACAACGTGTGATTCGTTGGCATAGGAAATCTTAAAGGTATTCACAGTGTTGTCTTTCATGGTTATTAGCAGCACGAAATATTACCCAAATTGTAATAGATTCTGCTGTTTTGTTGGATATAAATCCATTTATGTTGCGGTTACCTAGGCTCGATGGTTAAATTCTTTTGTTTAGAAATGTTGCCGAGTTAACGGTCTTTGAGCGGATATAATTTCGGATCTTTTATCGCACTCTTTTGTTGTTGTAGCAACAGAAATCAGTCCAATAGTAATTTTAAGTAAATTGATAGTCTTTCGCTGTGTACAATTTGCAGCGGATACATGAAAACGGCTGTACTGAGAATGGTCTTTTATCGATCGTACTCTGTTGTTGTGGTGGTAGCGACCGAAAACATTCTTCAAAGAATTTTGAGGTCTGCTGCCGAATTGACAGTCCTTGATTGGACCGTTTTGCATACGTAGAAACGACCATCCTGGGAACATTTTTTGTTGTACTATTGCGAATACATGGAAACGACTGAACTGGCAACGTTCTTTCGCCATACTCTTTTGTTGTTGTAGCAATAAAAAAAAAAAATCCAAAAATAATTATTAGTTGAGGGTTGTTGGTCGGATATAATTATGGATCTATTCCGGATACGGCGAAACAACTGTATTGTGTACGATATTTAGTTGTTGTTGTAGCGTTCTAAATCTAACGTCTTTGTGGTGTGGAGTATAAATTAATTGTTAATGAAATCATCTAACGGAGGCTTCAGGAAATGAGCTGTTTCGGACCATAGGGAGAAGAGTGTTACATGCATTTGTTCTCCAGTGCAGCCAATCACAGTTTACAGAAGGAAGTTTCCCGGGGCAACTCGAGCTCTACTTTTGAAGTACGTACGATGGTTTATTGACCCGATTTTGTTATTCTGGCGAGGAAGTAGTCGCAGTTTTCACATTTATTGCTAGTGGAGATTTTTATATTACTGGCCTATCATTCCGTTCCTACCTTCTAAGTTTCAGAATGAGATTGTTTAAATATTTTTCCATATCAATAATTAACGATAGTGTATTTGCATTTCGCTTGAGATCAATTTAAAAATGTTAAAAGGTATATGTTTACACCACCAATATCTAGTAAAGGTTTAAATTATATATTTTAGAATGTATTCGTTAACTGGATGGATTGAGTTGGCATAGGGCTCTGCGAATACAGAATTTTGAAAGTTCGACCTGAATTGCGACACGGATAAAATCCTCGACAATTCCGGTATCGTCGCCCCGATTGTCGTGGGAATCACAGTAATCAGAGAGACTGCTTTCTCATCAAGCCTCTTTATCCAAATATCGTAGTATATGCTTTTTTTTATAAATATGTATCATCAGTGTGAGTTGTATCTAGCTACTTTAATCTCGTTAGTATAAAACTGCTGAATAAAATATAGAAAAGTCGGCCTTAAAGAAAAACCATTAATTCTTTCATAGTTTTGCTTGTAGTACGCGACAAACTTCTTCGCCGTAGATGAGTTATGGTCACACTGACCATTTATAGATGAAACCACCAACCAACAACAGCAACAATAGCAATCAGCTTTGGCCACATATGGTTATATGCTGTGTGTCATAAATGATGATAATTGCTTGTGACAGTGCTGTCTAATGCTTACTGCCTTCGCTGCCATAACAGCAGCGCGGACGGATTGGGGGTAGAGCTACATACATAACACATACATAAATGTGAACTGAGGAAGATGCTGCAATTGAATTGGGCGAACATTGCTGCAGTTGATTGGCAATTGACGATCGCCTAGATCGATATGATCGATGACAATTGTCCAGTATCGCTTACCAAACAAGTATATTTCTATGTTTGTCATCTTGGCAGCGTGCAGCAGCCATTTGTGGCACAACGTAAGCAATGCAGCTGCCGCTTTGTAGTGTTAGTTTTTTTTTTTGCTGCGTTGCCGTCTGGCCGCTTGGAGCATGCGTGTTAGGAATGAGCAGTGAACGGCTGCGGCAGCTAATGATTTTCCCATAGATACTGTTTGGTATCGCTAATATGCGCACAAAAAGTCACTGCATTTTTCCACATTTGTGTTCTTTGTTTTTGTCACTATTTTCCACATTTGTTTGTGTGCTATTTTTTTTTCTTCTTTTTCGCTGCTACTCATTAATGCTACACGGAAAATTAATTCGTTTTAAAGTGCGAGCACTGTTTTTCGGCTGCACCGAAGCTGCAATACCCTTTACAGTTGCATTTCTTATATCATAAAAGGTCTTTATATTGATATTTATCGGCCAGTTTGTATGGCAGCTATATGTTATATTGGTCCGATCTGAACAATATGTTCGGTGTTTGCAGCATTGTCTTGGACAACACACACCCCATGTCCAATTTTGTAAAGATATTCTGCTAAATAAAAAAGTTTTCCATATAAGGATTTTAGTTTGATTGATCAGTTTGTACGGCAGCTACATGCTATATTAGTCCGATATCGGCGGTTCCGACAAATGCGCAGCTTATTAGAGAGAAATTCAAATCGATATTTCAAAAACTGAGGGACTAATTCGGGTATATAAAGTGTCCTGTTTAGGGTATAATGACGTTTGCTCGTTTGATCGATTAGTGTTGGCCCGTTCGATCGACCAACTGACCAGAACAGCGCTTTTCCTGCGCATATGCCTGTAAAGTGCAACAGTATTGGCGATTGACAGCGCTCAGGAGGCGGCAATAATGGAAAGTAGCCGGCAACATAATACAGCAACATCATTACCGCATCCGCCAAACGCGCCGCTGCCACCGTCGTCAAACGTCAATAATCAGCGCTCTATAATGCGTAGCGTTGAGTGCAACAGTGTGGCATCGCGCATTGGTCGCACGTAATTGTGATTTTCCAACTAAAAATCAGTTGTCGATTGGTTGCTTTTATCAAATGTGCCATGCAACAGTTGCACACGTGCAGTGTATTGTTTCTTACAGTTGTTAAATTGTTTTTTATTATTCTTATGTGTACGAATACATACATAAATCTTGTTGTTTTTATTGTTATTTTTCATTTGTAACTGCTGTTCTCGTGTGCTTGCTGTTCGACTGGCTGACCGTCTGTCGCTTATTGGCCGCTGTGCTCGCATTAATACCGCAAACAAGCCACACTCATTGCGCATGCGTAAGGCGTTAGTGACCGTTTTTAGAATTACTAATTGAATCGACGCGTTACAACGCGTTCTTTGTTGCAACAAATGAAACGTGTATGCGTTTTTTTTTTTTGTTGTTTGTTATTGTTCTCATGCCATATGCATTAATGCATTTGTTGCACGCAAACGCATAAATACATACTAGTATACATGTTTGTATGTAGTTTTTTCACAAAATATCGGCTGCCACCATTTAACTGTTTTTGATTTGTTTTTTATACTGTTATTATTATTTTTTTTTTTGTGATATATATGAAAATATTTTTTTCATATTTGTTTTTACATTTTTCATTATAATTTTCATCGGTGTTTTGAGTCAGCGCTCATTTACTTGGCTGTAATATCATTGCCATTGGGTTAAATGACATGCTGTCATTTATTCACGAAATAACGCTATCACTGGTGGAGTTTTTGGTTTAAAAGAATTTTCTCCCTGTTATTCTTTGGCATAATTTTCTTACTTTATTTTTTACTCCGTTTCAACAAATATTGTCAGTATTTTGTATTATTTTCATGGCCCGTTATAATAGCCTAGAATCCGCTTATATTTTTACTTAGCTTGCTAATTGCTGAACGGAATCAGACAATTCGTGCTTTTATAAAAAAAGAAGCTTTTTACGAAGAATTCATGCTATACGAGATTATGCGATCCGAGAGGTCATACGAGTTACCCGATAAGTACATAGTCTACAAAAAAAAAACCGAAAGTTTACATATAGCCCGATACATTTGCGCTAGCGATGCTCCAACTTTTTTAAATCCCCTAAAATCCCCGTTCTCTGAACTTCTGTTCAAACTAGTCCTCCATGACCGTGATAGCTTCCTCAATCGATTAAAATGTTGGAGCGACGTGTGGCT